TAAGAAATTGAAGCCATACAATCACTTCTTATCTGTCTCATTAATTGCTTTAAATATTCCTATTATAATTGCACATTTGTCCCATGAGTAATGATATAAGGAAGAACTCATTATGTTATGGGGGGAAAATCTCCACATTCATTAGATTTATACCTACAGGTCAAAGTCCATTGCAGTGTTATCCCTGATTAATATTATTTTACTTCCCTGATTTGCAATTATGCTTTGCATAATGGGTTATCAAGATTCAGTACAATAAAACAGTCATGGAGGTCTTGGTCGAACCAATGAAATGTGATGAATAATAGCTCTAAGGTCCAGAGTGATATTTAATATAGACTCCATTATTTTCCTAATGTATGTATCCTTCTTTTTATCTAGAAATTAGGACATTATTAATGTTCAACAACATCATGCCCCTTTTATTAAATGAAAATTCAGACCTTTGCATGATGCCAGAAAAGTAGAAGCACCAAGTTTCAATGCTAGTACACAGACATTTTTGTAATGAAAAGCGAAATTTAAGAAAGAATAACTGAGCATAAAATATATGTATATCTTCAATCTTACCTTGCTTATGTATTTCACTGGAATACATTGTTGCCAAAGAAGGAAATCGCAAGTGTAACTTTCTGTTCACACATGGAAATTAGTCAAAGAAAATACACATTCATATTTCTCATTTTTAATCTATCTACATGTGCGAGTATCTCTCCCCTTCAGGAAAACAACTGGGGGGGGGCACAGGAACCACGGCTGCCCAAGCCCCAGCTTTCTCTTTTTATTTCTTGTGAGAGCACACACTTCTAAACAATATGCTGCCAGAGCAGAAGCAATTCAAAGAACGAGAACACCTTATTTAAACATTACATATCAGATTACTTCGACACAAGACTTCATAAGCATATCATACTACGAAAAAAATAACCTTATGAGGCATAGCATGAAGGTTAAATTTCTAGAAAAATAAACGTTTAAAAAGGATTTCTCCATACCATCGTAGGAAAGACTAAGTCCAGATACTCACTAGTTCTGCCAGTCTGCAGTCACTTCCACAGTGCACACACTATCTTCGCTGTTCTCAACTAGCTCAGAAGCAAAGTCTGCAACTTTAGATTTGGTGGTGGATGGGGCAGGGAATGTATTGCCCCTGTTTTCTATCTTGTAATGTCTACAGTGTCATTCAGGCATTAAACACAGTTCTTTAGCAGCAACACTGAAGTATAGATGGGAGTAGTTTCTGATCTTTTCCTCTGAACTGCTTTATCTGGCCTCCTATACCTGTCTGGTCACAGACTTCTTTATGAAAAGAGTACCTAAACCATGATGTGTTTTATCCAATTGTTCCCTGTTTGTTAAGCACCATTTTTCACAATTGTTGACTACTATTTTAGACAACATTAGGAATCTGTGATTAACTAAATCCACTTGATCTTGCTCTGATCATTTCAATGAATTCTCTTCTGTGTCCCTGCACTCAGAGCTAATTAATTCTTTTCTACATTTTATAGAGAAGAACATCTTTGTCTTATCTGAGAATTGCCCCAGAAATATGGTAGTTTATTAAAGACAATCATATGGACATCAGTGTTCATTTCTCCTTTGTAGTTACTCAGTATGTGAAGGGCCCTGGAATTTCAAGAAAAGAAGACACATGAGGGGTTTCTCAACATACTCTAGGTTATTGGCTCAGTCGCTATGATTATTGACTTGAGTGGTCATCAGTCTCTTCTCACAGAAAAAGTCTTGGATGAGCAAATATATGTTAAAAGGGACTATTCAGTGTCTACCAGGTGCCCTTTTGAAGGTGAAAAGCGATAAGACAGAGAATAACCTGAATAAAATTCTAGCACTTTCAGAAAAACAGAGTAATTATTAGTTCAGTTTGCTTTGGTTTTGACTGGTGCCCTGTGCATACTGAAAGCACTCATCTCTCACTCTTTATTTATGTCATATTTAATTAATTTGAAGCATAATATCTTGTTCTGATGAATTTTTTCTTAACTACCCAGGTTCGCTAGATCATTAAGTTTTAGCTACTTGTTCAACAACCTAAATTCTTCACAGCATAAGTATGTTCATTGCTCAATGTTATAATGGAAAAAGGGAGAGGATGGAGGAGAGGAAGAGAGAGGGGAGGAAAGAAAAAGCGAGAGAGAGAGAGAGAGAGATTAAATCGATGCTATGTAACTTCTGGAATGTCAAAATGGGGCATTTATATGGTGATTATATATAGACTAAGCCTGCAGTGACGACAAAGAAGACAGTCATTTCCGAGGGGCACTGTCCTAATCTCTCAGAACTCATACCCTTTTATTCGTTATCTCTCATATTTATTGGCCTCCTTTACAAAGTCCCCCACTCATATCTTTTGTTCATCATTCTTTGTCCTCGTGGTTATATAATTGGATCAACTGACTAAAATCTAACAACAATAACAAGAAAAATCACAGAGCAAATTCTCTCTCATGCTCATACTTTGGTGTTATTCCCCAGCAGGGTTCCTAGTTCAAATGATTGTCTCCTGAACCACATTTTCCCCACTTTCTCCAAAATATTAAGGTTTGGGTTTATTTTTTTCCCAATTATCACATGCTTATTGAAACATATAAAACTTCATCAAGAAAGAATCCAAAGATTTTTCCCCTCTGCCTACCTCATTATTACTTAGAGAAAAATAAAACATTGTTAATAATGGGTTCATAACCACAGTACTGCAGGGAGATTTTGCTTGCATATAGAAGAGTTACACTGTGAGTCATTGTACAAGCTATATGGCAATCACATCAGATTCACAGAGAAGAACTCAGTATGTGAGCCACAACTACAGACATACAGGTTGAATTGCTTCATAATAAAGAGAGGGCATTGACCCTTATATTTCATATATTTTTTCTATGTCCAGATAATCTAGTGTATGGTTATGAGCAACTTATTAAAGCAATATTATATGCAAGATAGTTTCTCTTGATATTTACTAGTAACAAAGCTTTGAAAACTTCTCCTGACTCCATGGAATGCTCTTCTCTTGTCTTCACTGTCAAATATTGAAGAGAAAAATGTAGCGTTTTTCTTCTCTTGTTACTAATTGTTTCCCACAGTAGAGCAGAATGGGTGGATGTGCAGTATTATGGGGGCATAGTATTTCAAATGCTTATCTGATGTTAGATTTTTATCTTGTGACATCTCTTTACTACTCAGACTATGAATTTGTAACTGTAGCCTAGCCTAGCTTATTAAAGTTCTGTGAGTTATTTGTGGCCCATGTCCCCATGAGCAATGGCATTCTTTTCATCAGCACCATTTCAGGCAGTGAGAGTCTTTCCTTTTAGGTGGGGTAAATGATTCAGGAGATTTGTGATCCTCTGGTTAAATGTATTAGTATAACCTGCCTAAAGGCTTTCAGTAGTTTTGTTCTAATTAAGACAATATTGTTTGAATGAACTCATGCTCTAAATGTGAGATAAATAGGATTTTAAAATAAATAATAACACTATCGGCAATATGGTTACTATCACAAATTATATTATGATATATAACTCCAGTTTAAGAATTGTCAATTTGTTTTCATTGTCATTTAATCTTTAGAATAAATTTATGAAACAACCTTAATCAGGCCTATTTTATGACAAGAAAATTGAGAATTGAGTAATTTTTAAAATAGAAATCAAACAGTTGCATTTTTAATTTTTAGTTTTTTTAATATATGTTTTCCTGCAGTCCCAGCTGACCTAGATCATTTATGTAGGCCAGGCTGCCCTCAGTTTCACAGATATCCACCTGTTTCTACCCCTGAATGCTGGGATTAAAGGCATGTGCCACAACATCTGGCCCTTAATTGGATTTTGGAACACTGATTTCCCTGCAGGAAATACTAAATTATATAGTAAATCTTTTCTGTAATGAATAGTAATATTTACAGTCTATTAATTACTTGTCATGTGACAGGTTTTTGGTAAATACGTTGCTGATCTTCGCATATTATTATAAATGGAACATTGGCAGTTATATATTATAGACAAAGTAGATTAACATATAAGTTATATAAGCTAACTCCCTCAATGTTGCTTACAAATCTGAACTCCATGGTGAACTAGAGGCTTGTTTAAAAAAAGTAATAATTTCAGCAACAGTGAACTCTGTATGAAAAGGCTAAAATGTCTAAAACCAGAAAAAAGGCACAGCAAAAGACACAAGTGTAAGAGATTATGAAGACATCTGTCAAGATCCTCATGATGGGGTTGTAGAGGTGGCTCAGCAGTTAAGAGCACTGGCTGCTCTTACGGAGGACCTGAGTTCGGTTCCCAGCAACCACATGGCCAGCTAACAACTGTCCATAACTCAAATTCTGGAGAATCCAACACCCTCTTCTGGCCTCCAAGTGAGAGGATCCAATGTCCTCTTTTTGTCTCTGAGGGCATTGCACACATGGGTGCACTCACATACATGCAGACAAAACATTCATACACAATATAAATAAATAATACATCATGATACCAAGTAATGGAAACCTTTTAACATGGAATTCTTTCAAGCTTGACTACTAAAAATTCACCTTTATCAACTTCTTTCTATGTGTCATGTACTTTCCCAAATTCTCTACATTAAAATGCACTGTAGCTCCTTGATTATATTACTGTTTTTAACATGCACCTTCACTTCTGAAACTATGTAATTTGTAGCATACCAGTTAAAACTCTCTTCCATATTAAAAAAGAAGTCTTGCTCAAATCTTCCTAGTAGGAAATTTTTAATCTGATAATTTATAATCTTTTGAGAGTCTGAGAAACAAAGCTCATTTAAAGAAACATGCCTAGATTTCAGATTTTTGTGATTTCTGTTTGTACATACATTAGTTCATGAAATGAGAGGAAAGAATGTGGCCTAAAAGAAAGCTTTCTAGGTCACTACACAACTTACCTCAAAAGCAGAGCTAATCCTACTCTTAAGCATTGCATAAAAATGAGCCCAATAATGCCTGTATGACTGGAGAGTTGTTCTGGCTTCAGCAGTCCATACACTAAAATTGGAACAATACAGAGAAGATTATTATGGCCCCTGCATAATGATGACATGCAAATTCATGATGCATTCTGTATTTTAAAAAAGATGTAACACATGAAAATTTCTAAGTTCCTAAAGACCCGTGAAAATCTGGCAAATCCTGTACCGAAGCATGAATTCTGGAAGATTTATAGGAGTAATGAGCTTAGAAGCACAAAACATAACTTTAAGTCGTTTATACCCCCCCAATATTTCGACAGTGAGCACATATAGATGTTTAGTGACAATTCAACAATGCATCTTATTTAATAAGTAGTTATAGTAAGAGACTGAGAAAATCTGACAAAAGCAACATTGTTTTTCAATTTCCTTTTAACAATAAGGAGCGAGTGTTTATTTATTTATTATTTATTTATTTGGCCTTTTTGAGACAGAGTTTCCTTCTAGTCTCATGTGACCTGAAACTCACATATAGAGCAGCCTGGCTCAATCTCACAGATTCATCTGCTCTGCCTCCCGAGTGCTGGGATGAAAAGCATACACTACCACAGCATTCTCTTCTGATGGAGCACATATATGTTGGGTCCCTCACTTAATTATCACATTATTTTCTACTATTAATGCCTATTGTTTCTTTATGAATTCATTTATTGAATATATCCATTTATTTAATGACACTCACTTTCCTCATAGGAAAGCCATAAGACAAGTGAACACATAGTTTAGTAAGTTAGTGTTCCTAGTAATATGACTGAATGTGAGTTGTTAAATAAATGTCTTTACTAGGTGGTCAAATCTCTCTCTATCTCTCTCTTTCTTATTCCTTCTCTCTCTCTAATACATATGTATATATGTATACATATACATATATATGTATGTGTGGTTGTATACCTATATATGAATTCATTTTTTATTCTGTAGATATTTAAATATATTTAATAAATATATTAATAAACTAACATTTTGATAATTACACTGATAATTTTAAATATACGCATGCATATTATAAAATACATAAGTGAAATTGCTGGATTATTAAGCATTGTTTTAATAGTAAAAAACAAATGTGGTCAGAGGTGAGAGATGCATTCATCCTATGTGTAGAGATTGCACTGAAGATGTGTCACTGAGAGCTAAGCATCTCAGAGATATGTGCAGAGAACAAGAGGCCTGAATCATACATCTGTTTCAAACTTCTGCCACCCAAGGCTCAGGGACCATTTCAAAAGAGGATGCAAAAAGATTGAAAAGGCCAGATGGATGATAACAAGGAAACAGTCTTCCAGACAGCTGGAGATTACTCCATATGTGCTCACAGCAATCATGACAGCATGCACATGTCCTGTGCAATCTCAAATCAGACAAAATTGCAGTCCAGACATGGCAAAGTGGGTAAGAAATTTCAACCCAACCTAAGAAAATTTTGTCAACTGATGGCTGCTGAGTTGGTGAAAGATAGTGCCATACATAGATGGGACTTATGATGGGCCCAGTGGATGGACACACTTAAGGACATTGAGCACACAAATCAGACTCTATAGGCAGATATCTATATATCTATATATCTATATCTATATATCTATATATATCTATATATATAGATATATGAGAGTGGGCAGTGGGGGGAGATGGGGATAAGGGAAGTGATGTAAATACCATTAAACTATATTATATTAAAATCACAAACATTCAATAAAAAAGAAAAAATTGTACTTCTATTATACTTATCATTCTGTTGAACAGAAAATAGAACAATTTTCACAGTGTTTACCTAACTTCTTGTTAAAAGATCTCAAAGACATTGTCTATTAAGATTTGGAGAAATTTGCAACATGGAAATAATGAAATAATGCCATCTACAGAACAGAAACCAAGAAACTAAAATTGAAAATGCAAACAGACCACAGTGAGGAAAAGGAAAGAGAAGGCTCTAAGTCACTGTGTTGGATAGCTTTAGTTACTAGCTTGACACAACTGGGAAATTTCCTCCATTGAACTTGCCTGTGGCCATGTCTGTGGGACATTTTCTTGATTCTTGAGTGATGTGGGAGGGACTCACCCACTGTAGGTGGTGCCATCCCATGGCAGGTGGTCCTGTATTATATAAAAAAGCCGGTGGACCACGGGCCAGGGGAGCAAGTCAGTAAGCAGCATTCCTCCATGCCATGTGCTTGAGCTCCTACATCCAGGTTCCTGCCCTGAATTCTTACCTTGGGCTCCATCAGTGATGAACTATGACTCGAGAGGTATCAGACAATCTCTTCTGACCTCCGTGAACATTGTACAGTATGAGTGCACTTACAAACATGCAAGCAATACAATCATACACCCAAAATAAATAGTAAATGAAATGCTTTTTACTATTTTTATTTTATGTGCATAAGTGTATTGCCTTCATGTTCATAAGTGAACCATGTCATGAAATGCCTGTGGAGGTCAGAAAAAGGTGCTGGATCCTCTGGAACTGGAGTTACAGATGGTTGTTAGCTGCCATGTGGGTGCTGGGATTCAAACCTGGGTCATCTGCAAGCAGTCTGTGCCCTTAATCACTGAGCCATCTATCCATCCTCTAAATGAAATATTTTTTAAAAAAATTTAAAAAGGAAGCATTCACAGGTTTTGACTTCTGTCCTTCCCCATCAGCACCCTCCCATAGGCCCCACCGAATTTCATGCATTTCATCATTTATGTTAAGGCCTATGGAGTCGAGTTAGTGCCCCTAGATTTTCCTCAGTGCAAGTGCATCCACTGGAGTCCAGTCAGCCTATCTAGAGTCTCTCCCTTTAAGATCAGCTCTTCCTCACCCAGCAGTCATCAGCTGCCAATAGGATTGGAGCTGACAGTTTTTGTTTGACAAAGAGGCAGAGGCAGCAGAAAGTAAAAATGATGATCTTTTTAACAGTTTGCTGAAACATTAGCTAGCAAAAAAAGAAAGTTATTTGTACAGACATCAACATCTCGTTGATAATTATCTGAGAATGTTCATAAACAAATTAAAAATTGCAAAACTTTAAAACTCAGAAGCTAACAGAATGAAATCTGGACTTACTTATATTTAGCAACAACTGTTTGTATACAACACAACAAATACAAAGCATAAAGATATGGATGAGAAAAGGGGGTTACTAAAATTAATATCATCAGAATGGTGAAACAGATCACCAGTGGGATTCAAGGCAAGTTACAGACCGGGAGGAGAAGTTTGTGAAACCCATCTATCAGAAGGTGGTTAAACAAAATATAGAAAAAGCAGCCGAATCTCAACAAAACACAAACAACTAAGTTTACAGTGACTAAGACCTTTTTCTATTAAAATATAGTGCACCTTAGTTTAAAATTTCTGTACAGTTTTCCTTCTGTAGGACAAACTTTTAGAAGTGAACATGGCAAAACAAATGGCTACATGTTACCAAGATTTTCACTGTATATTTTCTTTCATTCAGAAAAGTGTTACTACACACTGATATAATAAAAATATTTGGAAGATTGTTTATATTTTCATCTATCCACAAATATTTTTAATTTCTGTACCTTAAATTTTTAGCAAAAAAGTAAAAGTGTTTAGTCTATGTTAATTAGCAATTATGAAATAATTATGGATGTTGAATACCTATAGTCGTGTGTGTTTATTGGACATGCATCTTTCTCATTTTTAATTAATTTTTATCGATTCTCAAAGTTCATACAATGTATTTTGATCATATTAAAACCCCTCTGCTTCTCTATCCCTCCCCAATCCACCCCCAAATTTCATGTTTCATCTCCTCCATTATCTGTCTTTTTTTTGGGGGGGGTCTTTTTGAGACAGGGTCTCCCTGTTGCCCCAGCTGTCCTGGAACTCACTATGTAGACCAGGCTGGCCTTGAACTCACAGAGATCGTCCTGCCTCTGCCTCTGCCTCTGCCTCCAAAGTGCTGGAATTAAAGGCATGCACCACCATGCCCAGCTGCCCTTTTCTTTTTAATATTCAATTTTATTTACTTATTTTTTTAATTTTGTTTTTAAAGTGCCTATTGAATCCCAAGTATGAGTCCTGATGTACATAACTTGGTAAACAAATAGTGTGAAGATTGTAGTAAAAAAACTGATTATACAAGTGCATACACACACACACACACACACACACACACACTATACTCTCATTGATAAAGTTGCTTCTCAATGTGCATACTGGAAATGAAAAGTTAAACAAGGGACTGGCAGATGCACAGAGGCCACATTTCTCAAAGCACAAACCAGGAGGACCCAAATTATCAATGTGAACATGGATTCGAGTTGGAGATATCAAAATGAGTGGATGGCAGCATACACAGGTGCAGGTGATTGTATTTAAAAATATTTCTGGATTAGAATATACTTTTAAATTCTCACACACATACTTGCTCTATCAGATGAGAATATTTAGAAGCAATCACTCTTCTGACAGTGATCAGCACTAGCACACACTTTTGACACTATTCTTGAGTTAAAAAACAAGGAATTATTGGAGAAATATCAGCTTCTAGACTAGGCAGGAAATGTATAATGTAAGGCTGGAGCATCTTGAAGTATCAAAAAGTAAGGAAAGTTTTGAAAGAGAGAAATAGGGTTACTAGAAGACCAGAAAGCAAGAACACAAGAAACCAAAAGGAAGGCATGGAAGGGAGGTAAAGAAGCAACAAAGGGAAGGAGGAAAGGGAGAGTGAGGAAGGAGAGAAGAGAGGGGAGCAGAGGAAGAGGAAAGGAACAATAGAAGGAAGGAGAGAGAGGGGAACAGGAGAGAGACATAGACTTACAAAATGGCAAAAAAGTGTCATTGATAGACATGTGTCAGATTTTAGAGGGACAAAGGAACCCACCTAAAAAGTCCCTAATGCCGAAGCTGTTATAATTTTTTTAAACAAAAAATAAAATGAATATCCACGGATCAATATTTATGTAAACAAATTATTGGATAAATAAATGAAAAAGATGAGAAGAATCTCTATACTTCACCAACATACAATATATAATAGTCTCAAGGTCAAGGAGCGTAAATTAACACTTATGGAATGGAGGCAGTGCAAGGTGACTAGGTTCTAAAAGGTAAAGAATGAAAAGGGGAAAATAAAATTTAACTG